ATGCGCTACGATTTGCACGCGAGCTCAATGTGGTTGGTGCCCACTTTGCCCCACGCCCCTCTTCAACTTGGCTATCGCGCAGACTTTGCGGACCGCCTTCACCAAGCTCTGTACGATCAGTTTGGCAAAGATGTCAAGATCAGAAGTCATCAAGCAGAGGATGGCAGCGGTGTGGGAAGCGCCATCATCGCCGCTATGACGCTCAAACGTCGTCAAGAGGGCAAGTACAATCATTGCTGAGAGGGTGCGCGCTCGTGCGGGGGGGCTCAGACGAGAAGTAGGCTTGTGGCTCGCTTCGAAGGCGAGCTGTATGATCCTATTGAATCCGGGGAGATAGATTGCTGTTCTGCACGCTTCGAGACTGACGCGTGATGACAGTAGGCGACCTTACCTGAGAGCAGCGATATACGCCTGCAAGCACGTACGAGACGCAGTTGCGGCGAGAGGCTTGAAAGTGCGTGCCCGCCCGCAGGTGTCTTTTTTTGACTAGGTACGTCTGAGGAAGCAGACGGGTGCTTCGAGCATGGGTATATATATGCATTCGCGTGTGCAGGGCGTAGGAAGGAGCGCTAGGTGAGGATACAAGCGAGGGCGGGCAAGCTCAACGCAAGGCAAGCGCACATTATTCGAAGGGAAATGCAGGTGGCCGGGGGTGGGGGAAGGGGAGCATGTGCATGTGCATCGTCATGGCGCTTTCGCTTTCGCCATGGTTCTCGCGATGGATGAAGCACGGGCACGGGCACGGGCACCCACGATGCACACCTTCCTCCCGCGCGCTCATCAGGTCGACATTCTTGACTCGACATTCTCTCTCGTTGGGCATGAGCATGAGCATGAGCATGGCACGATCGAGGAGGGGGATTGCACGCCCGCACGCCCGCACGCCCGCGCGCACTTTATCCGTGAGATTTGGCACGCAGACCCAAGATGCGCCGAATGCGCGTATTGATGCTGGTGGAGAAGAGCGCATCTGCTACGTGTCCTCTCTGTCATTCCATTGGTCCGTCCGAGGCAGGTTGGGCAGGCAGGCAGGCAGGCAGGCAGGTCAGATTTCACGATTAGACGTGCGGCGGGCTGGGGCTTGGCAGGGCGTATGGTCTGGTCTGGTCTTGCTGAGAGGAGTCACAGTGAAGAGCGACGAGACGAGACGAGACGAGACGAGACGAGACGAGAGGAGGGAGGAAGGGTGGAGTGGAGCTCGCGCGTGACTGCATGCATGCGCGCGCGGCTCGGCTTCTTTGACCGACCGCGGCCTACAATCGTGAATGCATCCAAAGGCCCACGTTTGCGAATCCTACGTGCGACGTGCGAGGCAACTCGTCACTTGAATTGCTCTGCCTTTTCTGTTTCGCAGGCAAAAGACGCCCCCGGCTAGAATTCGCAATCACCTCTCTCTCTCTCTCTCTCTCTCTCTCTCTCTCT